GGCTCGCGAGCTCATTAAATTGTTCACGAGCCGAGCTCGAGCTTCATTTTAAGGCTCGAATCGAGCTCGAGCTTCTTCAAAATAAAACGAGCCGAGCTCAAGCTTGGTTAGGCTCGGGCTCGGTTCAGCTCGTTTACACCCCTACCGAGAGATGTTTTTTTAAATGGTCAAAAACTGTAAAAAAAATTAATTACTACAGAAAATATCTAATTCACTAAATCGATTTGATTACTTTATGATTTAGTAAACGGTGAAAGTATGTTATGTTTTTCTGTATTTTGCCCTTTCTTCAAGACCAGATACCCATGAAAAGTATCTTTTTGAATGTTGGTATGAAGTATAAGGGTATAATTACTATAGAAATTGGTTAAGTCACTAGATCCATAAATAGCGAAAGTCCATTGTGATATTCTATAGTTTAGGACTAATATGATAAAAGTCCTAAGTTTTTAACGCGTAATTGGAAAAAGCTCTAACATTTTTTTTATTATTGCTATGACCATTTCCTTCTCGCATAATTATTATTTTAGCCCACTTAACGAGTTTCATGGTTAACTCCGTTATCTTTTTTACAAAATCAGTAATACAATTGAGTTTAAAGTTTAATTTTGGTCCCTATAGTTTGCAAAAAATCACACTACATGGTTTTTTAACTTTATTTTTTGTTTTTTATACTTTATTTATTTTCGTTATATATACCACGCTAATTTTATGAGACATGGGGCGCGATCCTACTCACTCATCTTGGAGATCAAAAAAATAAAAAATAAAATTATAAATTGCAAAATAAAAGGAAAAATCCAAAAATTCATTTTTTAAATATTATTTTTGTTATTTAATTTATCCAAAAAAATAAAAATAACATAAAAATAAAATAAATATAAAATAAAATACTTAAAAAATTACCGTTTTTTTCAATATAATTGAAATATTCTAATAGAATATTACGCTGTAAATAATCAAATCGAATTTTTAGAATGTTAGAATATTCTAATATTCTATTAAAATTGGTAGATATATTAAAATATTAAAATATTCTACTTAAATTGTTAGATTTGTTAGAATATTCTAATATTCTAATATTCTAATATTGTGTAAGAATTTTTTGAATATTTATAACTTAATATTCTAGTAGAATATTCTGACATTCTAAAAATTCGATTTGAATATTTACCGTATAATATTCTATTAGAATATTTCACTTATATTTTAAAAAAAACGGTAATTTTTTTATTTTTATTTTTTATTTTTTTATTCTTTGGATAAATAAATGAAAAAAATAATATTTTTAAAAAATTTCCAAAATTTTCATTTATTTTGCATTATAAAAATATATTTTTTATCTCCAAAATTAATGACTATGATTGCGTCTCCATGTTTCACAAAATATGATGGTTTCACATGAACATAACCATATATATATATATATATATATATATATATATATATACGGAAGTAAGTTCAAATAAAAACAGTAAATAGTGTGAAAACGTAAAAACATTATGTTTATGCTATTATTCTGCAATGAATGTTGTATATGTTGTATTGTTGAAGTAATTTTAATATGAATATTAACATTTGATTATTCATATATTCATTAGAATGTTATTATTCTATTATAAAATTATGTATGTGCATTTTTGTAGTAAATTTTAATGTTAGTTTAACCTGTGAGTATTTTTTTAGTTTTTTTCATATTTGTTTTCATATTATATTTTAATCTTTTCGTATATTTAATTTATTCATTTTTTTCGTATTTGATTTTATTATTTGTTTTCATTTTTTCGTATTTTTAACTTTTTCCTGACGTTTTTCAAAAAATATAAAATGTATTAATATATTGGAGTATATTATAAATGCCACAAGTCCATTGTGATATTCTATATTTTACCCTTTTGTTTTCAAAGAGATTACAAATCTGCATTTTTTTTTCTTATCCAGACCAAAAGCCGCAGAAGTGTACCACCACCCTTTCTTCTGGGACCCTGATACCCGTCTCTCCTTCCTCCGGGACGCAAGTGACCGCATAGAGTTAGAAGACCGCAAAAACGATTCCGATATCTTAAAATCACTCAAAAGCATCGGAGATTACACAAATTGGGACAAAAAATTACACAAGAGACTCATAAAAAACATTGAACATCACAGAGAATACAACTATGACAACGTATGTGATTTATTACGAGCCATAAGAAACAAATATAATCACTATGGACAACTCTCGAAAAAACTGCAACGTATGTTGGGGGAGGTACCCACAAAATTCGATGGATATTTTAGCAGCCGGTTTCCGAAACTTGTTATAGAAACATATAATGTTTTGAAAGGGTATAGTGTGGAAGGAGAGATTCTTCATAAGTATTATAAACAATATCAATTTTAATTTGTAAAGTGTTGTTGAATGTCGATGATGGTCTGTTGTCAAGAAATGTGACATGTATATTGTTTCTATATAGTGTGGAAGGAGAGATTCTTCATATGTATATATGATATTTAAGTTGTTTTGTAATTACTTGTTTACATTTTAGAGAAGAAGACAAATCTAGCCAATTTCTTTAATTATTTTCTAGGAAATAGGCAAAAAATTAAGAAATGACTCGTATAGCCACTGAAATCATGGTTAGGCCTTGGGCTGTGATTTTGTCAATATCTTTTATGCCATGTTTTCCATTCAGTAATCAGGAAGCTATGTTGGTGGCTGCTCAAGATGGCACATTTTATCAAGGTATAAGTTCAGGTAAAGTTCTATGGTCTTTTCCATCTGGAGCACCAATATATGGTTCACCTCAATCGGTTAACTTGGAGGATGATGAGCATAATTCCTCTACGCGGCAGCAGCAGCAGCAGCAAGTTCACCTTGTTGATGTAGATTTGTTTTCAAGATTTGTTATATTAGATTTCCACTATTTGTCCAAAATGATGGTTATTTTACGACAAAAGTCAATTGCTATAATTCCAACAAGGGCAAAATACAGAAAAAGTATAATGTGTTTTTCCTATTTTATCGATTTAGCCACTAAACTATTATGATAATATCTATGAATAAAAAACAATGCTTTGATTACCAATTCAATAAATTGGTCAAATACATAGTGCTTTTTTGAACCGGGTCTTTTATACGGTCGAAATATATATAATGATTTATTCACGATATAAATGAGCTAAGTGAATTAATCAATAAAATGATGAAGGTATAATTGTTTTTTTGTTTTGTTTTTTATTTTTTGTATTTTGCCCAAAACTAAATCACTCTTTTTGACAATTAATGGTTGACAAGATTTAACCGGGATGAGTTGTCGAAATTTAAATGAAAACAATATGTGTTCTTCCAGCACTAAACCTTTGTCTAAGCTCCTTAGGTTTTGTTTCCACGTTCTTACTAGCAATTTGCAACATTTGGTTTAACTCTCAGACAAACGTATCCGTGATGTTCACATGCTATAGCTGTTAGCGGTCCCCTAAGAAATAGCGGTGGTGCTATTAGGCTCCGGTGAAAAGGTAGTAAAGATGAAGCTATGTCATTA